GTTGGGGGGGGGAGATGGAAATGAGCAGCCCGTACGTCTGCGCTCTGCTTTCAAATGCAGAAATTAATTTTGCTATTCCATTTATTTATTTCTTTTTATTCCCTTTCTTTAATCCTGCCTGCTCTAAGACGAACCCCTGGGCAGGGCTGATTAGGGGGCTTTGTGTCACCGTGTGTGAGTGACCAGATGGCTGTGATTGTCCCCGATTATTATGAGCTGGCTTTTAAGAGGAAGCTAATTACACAGGGCAAAGGAAAGCCTGGGTTTCTGACCAGGAGAAAAGAATCTGTTTGGGTTTTTAAAGGGGTAAAAATAAGAACAAAAAGGAGATTCGGAGGGATCCAGGCCCTTCCCGCTCAGAATTTTAAAGCCAGGTTGTTCAGGGAGCTTTTTCACAGTCTCCAAGGGAGATGATTCCTCCCCAAATCCCTGTCCCAGGGTTGCACCCGCGGTCACTCTCATCTCTTTCTCCCCCCCACGCTTAAATCTAAGCTGCAGCCTGCTCATCTTGCCTGTTTTTGGAGAAATTAGCATTTTTTCCTCTTGACCCTCCCTCTCGGTAGCAGAACTCTCTTTGCAGCCCTGATTTTTTAGCCACGTGGCTGGGATTTCTGGCTTGTATCAAAAATAGTGTGACCAGCAGAAGTAGGGAGGTGATTGTGCCCCTGGACTCAGCACTGGGGAGGCCACACCTCGAGTGTTGTGTCCAGTTTTGGGCACCTCAATCCAAGAGACATCTCGAGGTGCTGGAGCGAGTGCAGAGGAGGGCAATAGAGCTGGTGAGGGGGCTGGAAAACAAATCCTGAGGGAGTTGGGACTGTTTAGTTTGAGGAAGAGGAGGCTGAGGGGAGACCTCATCACTCTCTACAACTACTTGAAAGGACACTGTAGAGAGGTTGGTGCTGGTCTCTTCTCACAGGTAATTAACAATAGAACGAGAGGGAACGGCTTCAAGCTCCAACAGGGGAGGTTTAGATTGAACATTAGGAAGGAATTACAGAATCTTCTAGGTTGGAAGGGACCTTCAAGATCATCTTGTCCAACCGTCAACCTAATTTTGACAAAAATAGACACCCCCACAACAAACAAGGAGCATCAGCACTAAACCATCCCTCCCAGCACCAGGTCTCCCCTCAGCCTCCTCTTCTCCAGGCTGAACACCCCCAGCTCCCTCAGCCTCTCCTCATCAGACTTAAATTTTTCACCCAAAGAGTGGTCGGGCGTTGGAACAGGCTGCCCAGGGAGGGGGTGGAGTCCCCATCCCTGGCTGTGTTTAAGGGCCATTTAGATGCAGTGCTGAGGGACATGGTGTAGGGGAGGACTTTGGAGAGTAGGGTTGATGGTTGGACTCCATGATCCCAAGGGTCTCTTCCAACCTCCAACTCCACAAAAGTGTCTCTTTTCGTTGCCAACCTCCCTTGACTCCTTATTCCCCCCAGGAATGCCCCCCATGCAAGTCCACCACGGGCCACCCGGGATGGGCCAACATCATCCAGGACCCCCAGGCTCCGGAGGCCAACCCCCCCCGCGGCCCCCACCTGGAATGCCACATCCTGGACCCCCACCCATGGGAATGCCACCCCGAGGACCTCATTTCGGGTCGCCCATGGGTAAGTGGGTGCCCGCCGGAGGCGGTATGTGATTTTTTAATTATCCCTCCTAACGCTCTCCTGTCGAGTCGAGCCCTCCCTTCGGGCCCTGCCACCCCCCCTTTCCCCCCCCCTCCTTCCTAGTTTTAAGGGGGGACGGGAAGGAGGTGACACCAAAGGGGTGTTTTGGAGCAAGATCTCCAGGTAGGAGCTGCTGAGCCAGGGTTTCCTGGGGCTTTCCTCATGATATGGCCTCCAGGTTGTGTTTCCCTCCGTCTGTCGTGACAGGGAGGGGTCCTGAGACCTGTCCTGGTGCTGCTGGGGGGGGGTCTTTCTCCAGGAAAGAGGGGGGTCTGGGGGTCTTTCTCCAGGAAACAGGGGGGTCTTTCTCCAGGGGAGATTCTTTCTCCAGGATCTGCTGCTGGAAGGAGAGCGTTGGCCCAAACTGTGGTGCCCTGGGTAGAGCTGGCACCCGAGGGTGGGATTTTTTTGGGGGGAAAACCACCTCTTTCTGCTCCTCCCCGTTGGGGGGGGGTTGTTAATGCCTATTTTCTGTCCCCACAGGTCACCCAGGCCCCATGCCCCACCACGGGATGCGTGGCCCCCCTCCGCTGATGCCTCCTCACGGGTACAACGGGCCCCCTCGCCCCCCACCCTATGGATACCAGAGGGTCCCCCTGCCCCCCCGGCCGGCACAGAGGCCCCCCGGGGTGCCACCCCGTGGCCCCTTGAGGGGCCCCCTCCCCTAAAAAAAGCCCCCAACTCCCCTCCCTGCTGGGGCTCCTTCCCTCTCTCCCCTCAATCCTTCCTTTCCCCTCCGACTGACGGACCAGCACCCGGGGGGGGCAGTGGGGTCCAGCCCCGTCGCCGCCCCCCCCTTTTTCCTTCCCTCTCCCCTTTTCTTTTTATAGAGTTCATTTTGGTTCCTTTTCCCCTCCTCCTTCCCTTTATCTCCACCTCGAAGATTTATCGAGGTGCTTTTACCAGGTTGGGGTGGTTGTTTTTTTGTGTTTTTTTTTTCTATGTAAAGCAGCGATCGCCTACAAATAAAACATTTTAAGAACCCAAAAATAGGGGGGGTTCTTCCTCCGAGATCGAGATGAGGCTCTGCCTGTTTGTGATGGAGATGCTGATGGGCTGGTTCTTGCCCTGTGATGGATCCATCAGCTTCTGCCTGTCCATTTTGGGGTGAGGTGCTGGATTAGGGGCGATGAATCGGGGTCTTGCTTTATCCAGGCTGTTCCTTGATGCCTCATGGGGGGGCTCCGTGTCACCTACGGCGAAGAAAATCATAGAATCATCGAATTTTCCAGGCCAGAAGGGACCTCCAAAGGCCATCTAGTCCCACCCCCCCGCAGTCAGCAGGGACACCCCCAACTAGACCAGGTTGCCCAGGGCCTCATCAGGCCTCACTAGGCCTCACCTTGAATATCTCCAGGGAAGGGGCCTCAACCACCTCCCTGGGCAACCTGTCCCAGTGCTCCACCACCCTCATAGTAAAGAAATCGGGGTCTTGCTTTATCCAGGCTGTTCCTTGATGCCTGATGGGGGGGCTCCGTGTCACCTATGGTGAAGAAAATCATAGAGTTGCCCAGGCTGGAAGGGACCAAATAAAACATTTTAAGAACCCAAAAATAGGGGGGGTTCTTCCTCCGAGATCGAGATGAGGCTCTGCCTGTTTGTGATGGAGATGCTGATGGGCTGGTTCTTGCCCGAATAAAACATTTTAAGAACCCAAAAAGGGGGGGTTCTTCCTCCAAGATCGAGATGAGGCTCTGCCTGTTTGTGATGGAGATGCTGATGCTTGCCCTGTGATGGATCCATCAGCCTCTGCCTGTCCATCTCGGGGTGAGGTGCTGGATTAGGGGCGATGAATCGGGGTCTTGCTTTATCCAGGCTGTTCCTTGATGCCTGATGGGGGGGCTCCGTGTCACCTATGGTGAAGAAAATCATAGAGTTGCCCAGGCTGGAAGGGACCTCCAAAGGTCCCATCTAGTCCCACCCCCCCGCAGTCAGCAGGGACACCCCCAACTAGACCAGGTTGCCCAGGGCCTCGTCGAGCCTCTCCTTGAATATCTCCAGGGAAGGGGCCTCAACCACCTCCCTGGGCAACCTGTTCCAGTGCTCCACCACCCTCACAGTGAAGAACCCTCTCCTCATCTCCAGTCTAAATCTGTTCCCCTCCAGCTTAAAGCCATTTCCCCTCGTCCTGTCACTGCAGCCCTTTCTAAACAGGCTCTCCCCAGCCTTCCTGTAGCCCCCCCTCAGGTACTGGGAGGCTGCTATTAGGTCTCCCCGGAGCCTCCTCTTCTCCAGGCTGAACAACCCCAGCTCCCTCAGCCTGTCCTCGGAGCAGAGGTGCTCCATCCCCCTCATCATCCTCGTGGCCCTCCTCTGGACCCTCTCCATCAGGTCCATGTCCTTCTTCTATTGAGGGCTCCAGACCTGCACACAAGACTCCAGGTGAGGTCTCACCAGAGCAGAGCAAAGTGGCAGAATCCCCTCTCTGGACCTGCTGGCAACGCAGCTTTTGATGCAGCCCAGGATGGGATTGACCTTCTGGGCTGCAAGTGTCCCCTTCCTGCTCATGTCCAGCTTCTCCTCCACCAGCACCCCCAAGTCCCTTTCCTCAGGGCTGCTTTCTAACCCCTCACCCCCCAGTCTGTGCTGATGGTGAGGATTGTTCTGGCCATCAAGCCTTAAAACCCATCTCCTCCTTGTCCCAGAGGGCACAAGGCAGTGAGCAGGACGTTTGGAGGAGGAATTTGATAGGAAAAGTCACTCTTTCTGCTCCCTCTCCTGCTTTTTGGGGCTTTTTTAGAAATTAGATCTCATTTTCCTGTTGCTCCCAGCCACAGGAAACCATTCTAACCATGATTCTGGGGATGTGGGTAACTGGGAGGGCAATAAAATTTGGGATTGGGAAGAGAGGAGGTGGAGAGGGATCTGGTTTTGTCTCCCCAGGGCTGAGTCACCTGCCCTGTCCCTCCTCTCCTTAACGAATTCAGCGTCTCGGGGCCGGATAATTGGGGATGTGTAAAATCCCAGTCTGGATTTTACAGATTCACGCCTCCCCCAGCAGCCAGGAAGGTGTGAGGAGGGAGGGGGGGGGCTGGATTTTGGGAGAGATCCGTGCAGGAAGGGGGAAGAGCCTGCAATTGGAGGTAGGGCTTTAAATCCAGCCACAAAAATCCAAGTGCTTCCAGATAATTTGGCCGCCTGGGGCTGTTTTGGGGCTCAAGGGATACAAATGGGGGGGGGGTTTCTAGCCAAAAACAGCTTTTTTGGGTATTATGGCTCCTCCTGGGTGCTCTGCCCTGCTTCCAGCCTTGATTTTTACCCTTTGCTGGTTTATTTCTGGTCTGTTTTAACATCCTAGGGCTAAACCTGACCTTTAGCTCCAGTCTCTTCGCCCTGGCGGGGCAGAGGGAGAGGATGATGTGGTGCTTCCTCCCCCTCCTTGGCCTCGGTCGTGGTGGGGGGTGGTTTTGGGTGAGATCCAGAGGATCCAGAGGATCAGGTGGGCACTGAAGGATCTGTGAGACGGGCTGGGAAGAGCTCTGTGCTTTAATTTAACTCTTTTCTAGTTATATTTTATCAGAGGTCGGAATAAAAGTCAGGTCTGGGCTGTCCTTAGCTGTGACCCTCGGTGGAGATTCTCCTGCTGCTCCTCAAACAGACATCCCAGCTCAAACCCAGCTTTCCTGGGGATAGTTAGAGGAGATTTGGGGCTTGGAAACCTCTAGAGCTGCTTCTAAAAGGGTCAGAGTGGTCGGGGAGGGGGCCTGATCCTGCCCCCAGTGCCCCCACTGTGCACCAGGGAGGTGGAGATTGTTGTGGTTCAAGGTGGTAAAACCCTGGCTTTTAATCTGTGAGACGGGCTGGGAAGAGCTCTGTGCTTTAATTTAACTCTTTTCTAGTTATATTTTATCAGAGGTCGGAATAAAAGTCAGGTCTGGGCTGTCCTTAGCTGTGACCCTCGGTGGAGATTCTCCTGCTGCTCCTCAAACAGACATCCCAGCTCAAACCCAGCTTTCCTGGGGATAGTTAGAGGAGATTTGGGGCTTGGAAACCTCTAGAGCTGCTTCTAAAAGGGTCAGAGTGGTCGGGGAGGGGGCCTGATCCTGCCCCCAGTGCCCCCACTGCGATGGGGCGTTGATGGGCTCGGCCTGACGTCACCCCCCAGATGCTCAGGGGATTTCTGCAGAGGATGAGGAGGATGGGAGGAGGAAATGTAACTTGGGCAGGGTTTTCCAGCAGACCTGGAGGCACCAGGGGTGCTGGAAGGTCCTGGGTGATTTAATTAACCCCCCCCAACCTCCCCGAGGCCTCGGCTGTCTCTGCTCTGTGTCCTCCAGAGCCCGACACAATCGCATCAATTCCATCTCCCTCCCAGGAAAGTGCTTCTGGGTCCTGTCCAAACCCAGAGCTGATCTGGAAAAATTAGGGAAAGAGCCTGATTTAATCATCCTCTCGCCCAGAGGGGATAGGAAGCAAGATTTGGGGGGCTCCCCTCTGCTGTGGGGCAAAATCAGCACGGTTTGGCTCCAATTCCTCCACGAGGACGAGCAGAAGGGGCTTCACAGCCGCTCCTCGAGGAGCAGAGATGAAGTGGGAGGAGAAAAAAACGAGCATCCAGCGGGAGAGTGGATGAGGGAAGGTTTTGGAGCACCAAAAACCCACCGTAGCTCCAGCCAAGGCCTTCCTGGAGACAGGAATTGGGGTAAATGTGGAGAAAAATGAAGTTTTTGGTCCCTCCTGGGTGGCCTTGGTGGCCCAATTCCTCCACCTGCCCTTGGAGGACGAGCAGCCAATTTGGGGTTGGAGGGGACTCTCATTTTGGGGACACCCAAGGGGTGCTTGAACCCAACGCGGGGCGTCCAGCGGGAGAGTGGATGAGGGAAGGTTTTTGGAGCACCAAAAACCCACCGTAGCTCCAGCCAAAGCCTTCCTGGAGACAGGAATTGGGGTAAACATGGAGAGAAATGAAGTTTTTGGTCCCTGCTGGGTGGCCTTGGTGGCCCAATTCCTCCACCTGCCCTTGGAGGATGAGCAGAAGGGGCTTCACAGCCGCTCCTCGAGGAGCAGGGATGAAGTAGGAGGAGAAAAAAGCAAGCTCAGGTGGAAAGGAGCAGGAAATCTTTGCTGGTTTAAGAGGCCAGAAGCTGCGAGGGGCTCCACGGGTTGCTCCTCAGCTGGGCTGGAGGTGGTTTTTTGGAGGAGAGGTGCCTGGTGAGAGCGTCTTCAAACACACCTCGTGTTTGTGTTCATCTTCCTGAGCCCGGGGTTGGTGTTTGTCGCCGTTCTCTGCGCACCAGGGAGGTGGAGATGGTGGTTCAAGGTGGTAAAACCCTGGCTTTTAATTAGGAGTAGACGAGGCAGGTGCTTAAATCCCCCCCGTTGTTAATTTGGGGTTGGAAGGGACCGAGCTGGACTCTTATTTTGGGGACACCCAAGGGGTGCTTGAACCCGATGTGGGGCGTCCAGCGGGAGAGTGGATGAAGGAAGGTTTTTGGAGCACCAAAACCCACCGTAGCTCCAGCCAAAGCCTTCCTGGAGATGGAAATTGGGGTAAATGTGGAGAAAAATGAAGTTTTTGGTCCCTGCTGGGTGGCCTTGGTCCCTCCTGGGTGGCCCTGGTGGCCCAATTCCTCCACCTGCCCTTGGAGGACGAGCAGAAGAGGCTTCACAGCTGCTCCTCGAGGAGCAGAGATGAAGTGGGAGGAGAAAAAAAAACGAGCTCAGGTGGAAAGGAGCAGGAAATCTTTGCTGGTTGAAGAGGCCAGAAGCTGTGAGAGGCTCCACGGGTTGCTCCTCAGCTGGGCTGGAGGTGGTTTTTTGGAGGAGAGGTGCCTGGTGAGAGCGTCTTCAAACACACCTCGTGTTTGTGTTCATCTTCCTGAGCCCGGGGTTGGTGTTTGTCGCCGTTCTCTGCGCACCAGGGAGGTGGAGATGGTGGTTCAAGGTGGTAAAACCCTGGCTTTTAAGGCTTCACAGCTGCTCCTCGAGGAGCAGAGATGAAGTGGGAGGAGAAAAAAAAACGAGCTCAGGTGGAAAGGAGCAGGAAATCTTTGCTGGTTGAAGAGGCCAGAAGCTGT